TATAAATGATAGAGCACAATGGCGTCTTGCAACCCATGTAGCCGACCCCACCTATTGGGATAAAGGCTTGTTGTTGTTGTTGTTGTACTGGAGATTTTTTGATAGAATTTAGACACAAAACCTCCCTTAAAAGTATAAGAAACTGGTGCAAAACAGAGAATACGTAGAATTTAAAGGACTTCTGTTTTTAGAGGAATCTTCACCTTGGAGCATCAAACAATCTGAAGTACGTATGCCAATTTGAATAAGTATGCATAGAACCATATTATGATCTGTATCTTGATTCCCTATGTATAAGAGTAGGAGAAAAATATAGGACTATAAATACTGTTCTGGAGTAAAGAATTGAAAAGAATACACAGAAGAAAGCACTCCCTTTATCATCTGTACCTCCATTTACTATGAATACGAATTTAGAAAACTACACATTAAGTACATCTTTAAAAAACAAAGAAAGGATATGTTGGTAAAGTATAATGACTGTTAAATGGAAGGAATCTAAAAGCTAGAAGATTTTCATCCCCTGATGCGAAGGATCATATGCTAGTAAAATACTAAAATTCATGTTATTTTGACTAAGAAAGGGTACAATTAAAACACATAGCAAAGCATGCATGGGGATAGAACTCTCAATATATCATATAAATAACATTTTTCTAGGTATAAAATAGAAGTTACCTTAATGAGTGCTAATGTTGCTAACTCAACTATTTGTAATATCTCCCTTATCTAATCACGATTAGCTGAAAAATCTATGTTAATCAAGGATCTAACCTCAATAAGGATTACCGAGTTTGTAATTTGTATAAATGAAATCTCAAGTTTTTATAATTTAAAATAGAACAAAATCAATTATTAAACTTTTAATTATAATAAAATAATGCTTTAGAAGTATGGGATGTCCAAATAAGTAAAATTGTTGCATGTTATTCTACAACATTTTTGTTGTCATTTGACAACAAATTTTGGCAACTTTTAATGTGCCCAATTTCTTCATCTGACATCTGATTAAAATGATCTAGGTCTCTATGAAAAGCTCTTTTCACAAACTAGCTAATGGCATGAGTTTTATTTTCAAATTAAGTCACGCAATGAAATTGAATACCTAAATACATTTTCAACCATTTTCACAACTCAAGGGTGTCCAAAACCCCATACAAGTGCCAAATGCCATTCCTAACACCCAGACCATACTCAAAGGACTTAGGACTACATGTACAACATACCACATACACATTTATGTCATAGTATTAAATTTTCACTCCTTAACCACTTTAATACCAAAAATAGAAGAAAGGCTTTAGCATTGCATTTCAAAAATCAACATTTACAGTCTCAACCAAATGAACATCCCTACACTTGTACTAATATGTTAGCCTTATTAATACTTTAACATCAAACATACAACATTCTAAGGCTCAAAGTGTATCTCAATTTTAATAAAAACAATATAGTGCAAGTGTAAACAAAATGCATCCTAATTAATAATATTTAAATTATCACACAAAATAAAATGAGGTCAAAAAGGCTATATAGAATGAATCATAGATTTTTAAGCCTCAGTAGTCTTTCCCTTTTCAACACCGGAGCTAGAGCTTGTAAAATATTAAAATAAAGGGGTGAGTCTAGCTACTCAATAACCAATATATACCTACCCCATGCAGTTGTATATCAATTGAAATAAACACATATAAATATGAGTTGATTATTTAAAAGTATCAATTACATATGATACGAGTTATATTTTCACAATTTAATATATATAGTCATATTCCTCATCTCAATCACAAAGTGCATTGCTATAAAACACTCAAACATGAGCCTTAACTCATTATCTCAATACTCATTGCCACTATAATGGCACACTTTTTATCACGACTTACCACAACAAACTTAACAACCATACAACATGTTAAATAAATATATGTGGATGATCAAACTATCCTTATACCCACTTTATTTCCTCCAATTGAAACCGTGGTCTTTAACGTTAATCGAGATTTTGTTCATGTGACTGAACTACCTAAACTCACTAATAGTGAGGTATGACAAGGTTAAAGATTGCAATACTCACTCTTAGACTACGGCTTTTTTCTACTCTCAAATCTCTGGGATATCGTATGCTCTAAGCTAGTCTTCTCGATAAACAGGTGAAAATAGCTAGATTCTAGTTCCTTAACAAACTATGAGGCAGTTTTTCGACAAACAGTGGAACAGGTTGTGCCTTTATGCATGGGAAGGCAACCGTATATACCATTTGGGTTTCATCTACTCCTCTCCCTAAATGAACTCCTGCCAACTGATCATGCAACGTACGATACTCACTCTTTTCACATTTTCATTTACTCAATGACAACACGTTGGGCTCACACTATAACGTTACTTAAGTAAGCATCAATGTCATATTCACAACTTTCTTCACTTCAATCCTCAATTTTACAACATAACCTACTTACTCATTTAGCCACGGATATCATATTCACATATTAATATAATCACATTATCATCACATCACATATTGCATACTTCTCATTCTAGCATATAGTTATAACTTTGAAAATCACTTGAAATTTAATTCCACTTTTCAATTCAAATAGGATTCATACAATATCATAGGGTTCATGACATGCTTACACATTCACAAATTCAATCACACATGCAATTAAATGCCTTTTCACATTCAAACTTAATTAACAAATAACTACTTAAAATAGAATTTTCTCAATTACCTCAAACATTTCAAAGGTTAAAAGTTTGCCCCTCAATAACTTACTTCTAAGCCAAAATGGTGCTCGAACGATTAATCTACAATTAATTAAGTTTGAATTTATTAACATTGTTAAATACTCACTTTCAACTCTCATTTTCTACTTCTAAAACACTCAATACCCTTATTTCTCATACTCAAGCTTACCCATTGAATTTATTAACTTTCCTTAGCTCCCAATAGTTTCATTAAACTCTCACATTGTCATTAGTTGCTCCCAAACCAAGTATATCTACCATAATAAATGGCATTTTATGCCATCAATGCACTCATAATCACCAAAACGTGTAAACTCATTTTCTCCAAGTTTAAATATCTCATATAATTCTCATTAACTCTATTTGAGTCAATGAGTTCAAATCCATGACCTATATAAACTGAAAATCAACTCTACACTTCAACCCTAACTTCAAACTATTGTAGAGAGGAGGAGGAGGAAGGATAGAAAAGACTTACCTTAGTTATTGGGAGCTTCAAATTTTCTCAAATTCTCCACAAAGTTATGCCCTAGTAGAGCCATCTTCATCCTCTCCTTCCAATCTTATGATTTCTCCCTCTATTTTTTAAGTTTGTCATGCACCTATTTCTGTAAAAATTGTGCCTTGTGCCACCTGTTATAGCCTATTGTGCCACGGCGAACCATGCTCATGCTGCGGTGCATGGTACAGAACCGCACATCCTAAGGTCATTATCAAGCCCAAAAAATTTCTTTAATCCTCTTAAACCATTCCTTCCCTCAATTTCACAAAATTAACTTGATTAATTCATTGATAACCTAAGGATTAAAATTCAGAATGTTATACTATCAACCTTGAATCTCAAAGAAATGTAGCTCCCGATGAACCTCGGCCTATCCCACCTACTTTCTTCCTCTCCCATGATGCCATCATATTTCTTTTTCATCCTCCTCCCCTTTGATTTGCCTACACCCAAGACTTTAATGTACCATTATCAACATCCAACCTACCTCTTGAAAACCCTAAGGAGTTAATCTCATATATCATTAAAAAGCCCTTTAAATAACGAAAACCATTCCCTCTAATTCCACCGCTCCAACCCCACAAGGAGTAAAGAAGGGTTAAGCTCAGATGATAAATCCCCTAACTAAAACCTAAAATATGCAAATTTACTCCTCCAATCTCCTTGAAATGCAATAATAAAAACGATAGCCAATAATTCAAACCTTAAGGAAAACATAGAGAGCAGATCATGTAAAGTAAAAGATATGAGAAGTAAATTAGTAAGCCAAAGAAGAAAAAGAAAGAAAAGATAAAGGCGCTTGATTCAAGTTTCAAATGGAAGCAGAGTGAAATCAAATAGAAGAAAAAATAATACACCAAAACGTGAGGATTACTTAGTAAAAGTAGACTAAAAGAACATGATGTGATAGGTTACAAGTGCCTTCGTCAACACCCATCATCTTGCTTCATCTCCTTCTTCGTGATGCCTTCTGTTGCGACCGATCGAGACGAAGAGATGAAGAAGAAAAGAATGTAAATAACTTAAAAGAAAAACAAAGAAGAAGAAGAATTTAGATCATTAAAAGAAGAAATAACAACAGATGGAGAAGAAGCATGGGGGCAAAAAAGGCGGTGGAGGAAAAAAAGAATATGAGAGAAGTTGAATGGCCGATGGTTAAGGAGGATAGAGAATGAAAAATGTAAAACAAAAACAAAAGGGCAAGAGTGGAAATTCACTATTCAAACAATTGTAGATCTACAGCAATCCCAACGGATTTTATAATGTGTATACAGATATTTACATTCATTTTTTCATGTATTTGAATCGCTCACTTTAAATTAAATTAATTTAATAATTTAATTTAATACTTTAATTAATAACTGTTAATTGTTTGTGTTTGATGGTAAAAAAAAAGAAGATTCATATGAATATGTCATATTGTCATATAATGTGGAATTAAAATTAAGAGATAATAATAATGCAAAATTGTTAAAAAATTTATATCAATTTAAAATTAATTGTTGTCAGAGTCTAAATAAAAAAATTTAAATAGACTGTTATTAATTTAAAATAAATTATTTTTAAAATTTAAATAAATATTTGTTGATAAAAGTAACTTGAATTGATAAATATTTATATAAATTTAATATTAAGTAATTTTTAACGGATATAAATTTGTTCAGCAATTTTTAATTGATATTTTTCCTAAAATTAATTAAGTTAAAAGATCTTTTTAGCCCTTCTTAATTTCAAACAAATAAAACAACCCACCTTCGATGTGCCTGATGAAGCAGGAGTCTTCTCTGCTTGCAGAATTGAAGTTAACGACCGAGGAGGAGCCAGATACGATTTTGGCGACAGTGGGCGTAGACGACGTTGCGGGTCCTCTGTCGGAGTCTTCTGGTGGCCATTGCATTGGTGGCATTCTTTTTAGCTACGAGCCCAGTTACGAATTTGGCAAAACCTAGGGCTTGATTCTATTGCAAACTCAAGTAACATTCTCTTCAGCCTGTCAATTCGGCGAAACCTTGGCGTTTTCGTCTAACTTTGCTTTCCAAAAGATCTGATTCTTCTATTTTTTATTCCGCGGCTAGGGTTTTTTCTGGGTCACCAATTAGCTGCGGGGTTGCCATAGAAACAGCAATGCCTAGGTGTGTACTCTGTGTTATGACTTATAAGTGGTTGATTATGGAAAAACTTATCAACAATTTTTTTAATCGAATCTGCAGGTACTACTGTGACTACTGTGACACTTATTTGACCCACGACTCCGTAAGTTCTATTACTCATGAATACTTTGCACTAGTTCTTCACTGATATAATATTGATTGTAGTTTTGGGGCAGCTTTATTATTGTTTACTCAAGTTAAGCTTGTCAATTCTGTTATTATTTTCTGTTTGCAGTCAATCCGTAAATTTATTCTGACCAGAATGCTATAGATATTGATACCAAAAGGTAAACGATGTCCATAAGTGTGTTCAAAGCGTTAGGCCTCTAAAACATCTTAAAGGCGATGCATAAAAAGGCACAAGCCAACGTGAAACAATAAAAGGCATAAGTTCTCATTAAGCCAGACGTTAAATTAGGAAAATTGTATGCTATGTAGAATAACACAGAAGTTTGGAATAACATTTGCATGAGTTAACTACTCAAAGCACTAATCAAGTCATTAATACCACCACTAAAACATAATCATCAAGAAGTCATGACTCATCCGAGTATCAACTGTAACTCTTTAAGTTATAATTTAAGCCGTATATCATAATATGAAGTTAACAAGTCAGCATCAATTATAAAATATCGAAAGTACAATACAAAGAGCTATAGTAATCACAAGCCATTAATACTGTGACTTATTTTAGGTTTCGTGCAAATACATGAGACCCCCTATGGTTAACTTTACGACTTCAAAAGTGTATCAATCATGTAAAAAAAAAAAAATCTTAGAAGAAATTAAAATAAAAAAGAAAAGCCGTATAGCTTGTTATTTGGATCATCCATAATTGTCATCTCCTTTGTTGGACTTAAATTATTGAACAATCTTACTCATTTGAATCAACTACTATACCTTCCATGCTAGCAATTGAAGTTGAATATCTTGCTGCCTGTGTGCGTGATTTTGATGAGCTAGCTGCCTAGCTCTTTTAGTTTGGCTCCTAGTTTTGTTGATTGCTCTTCCAATGCCTGTTGCTCTTGCTGTTGTCACCCATGTCGTATTTTGATAATTGTTTTTAAGAGCCTAGGCAGTTCAACCCCATTGCAACTTAGTAATGGTAATTAGGATTGCATTACCATTGAGAGAGCTGTTTGGTTGTGTTATGATTTTATAATAATGACAGCTATTAGTTTTATCGGTTATCAAGTTATGCCTTGATTTATAATGTATAGCCATTAGTGTGTATGGCTGTTGCGTATTATTCCTTTTCTTATAAATACCCTATAATTCAATTTGTACACTCTCCGATTGATCAATGATAAGCCTGTGTACTATTCAGCATCTCCTATCTTCTATCTCTCAAATCCCTCTCAATTCCTCCTTGTCTCTCTCTTACCTCCTTTGTTCTTCCCTTAATTTCCTCTATTCTTCACTAAATTTTCTATCAATCAAAATTATTCTTGCATAGTAATGGCATCAGATCTAGGCTGTCCTTGGCATCTTTTACACTCATGTTTAATGATAGAGTACAACGGCGTTGTATAATTCATATAGTTGACCTCAGCTAATGGGGATAAGGCTTGTTGTTGTTGTTGTTTGATGGTATATGGTGAAGACTCATACCCAGAAACAGCAAGAAATGGACGATTGAGTTGCAAGACCTGAAGAAAGATTTGAAAAAGTGGATAACTTATCAGAGATGGTGCTAGCTATCTCAAACCAATTGCAATTACTCATGCGTGACAAAGAAGTCTCCACCAACCATGGTCGAAGAGGTCGATTGTGATTATAGACATGAAGGTCATTCAAATTGAGATAATGAACCACATAATAGAGATGAGCACCAATGCTCGACCCAATTTCCAAAGATGGAGTTTCCTAAGTTTTCTTGGTTCGATGTTGTAGGTTGGCTCATGCGTTGTGAAAGATTTTTTTGAACTCAACAATATTCCAAAAGAGAAGGTGCAAATAGCGAGCATCCACCAAGACGAGAAAGCGTAGTCATGGCATATCACAATAGAGAAAACTTAGGATGGTTTTGAACCCACTTGGGAACAATATGCTGAGTGGCTTCAAGAATGCTTTAGCCTAATGCACGAGACCCCCATGGACGACTTGATATGTCTTCAACAACATGGGTCTTTGGCAGATATCAATGATGCTTTTGACTCAATTGCATGTAAACTTCATCTCTCTCGAGATTATCTCATCAATGTTTACTTGGAAGGTTTGATGAAGGTCAGGTCTAATATGCCTCTTTAAACCCAAAACACTTCAAGAGGCTCGATCTCTGGCTCAAATGCAAGAGATCTTGATTCAACAATTTGTAGAGAAAAAGATGAGTTGCAAGAATGCATCGCATGTGTCTACACTTGTGAACACCTCGTCTCAGTCAAACCAAGCCACTTAGACGCCTTACAAAAATGCCCTCCTGAGTGGTAGGGCCTAGCAGAAAGGGAAGTCACCCTTTTCTCTTCCTAAAACTAGTAATTCTTTGCCAAAAATTAATAGTAACGCCATTAAATCTTTTTTTTTTTTGTAAAGGAAGATGCCAAGCACAGAAGCAAGAATTTATGCTTCTATTGTCATGGCAAATTTTCTAGAGACCATAAATGTCCCCAAAGACAAAAGATGCAACTCCACTTCATTAAGATTCAAGAAATTGTAGAAGATGAAGTTTCAATTGAAGACCCAAAAAAGAATGACAGTACAGAGGAAGAGACACCCTTGATTTCGTTATATGCTAGTGAGGGGGTTGAAGGTGCGTCATCAATGAGGGTTGCGGGTCATTGTGGCAAGAAACAAGTTCAAATCCTCATTGACAATGGAAGCACACATGATTTCCTAGATCTGGAATTAGCAAGGAAGTTGGGGTGGCAGCCCAGTGGTAGCTATAAATCATGGGTTGAGGTTGTTGGTGGAAGAAAATTAGAGGTGAATGGGTTGTGGAAGGTTTTCAGATGGTGTATGCAAGGTTTAGAATTCAATTTTGATTTTAGAATCCTAGAGACACTCTTATGACATGGTTTTAGGGCTGGATTGGCTGAAAAGCATTAAAAATGCTTTCTGGAATTATGAAACCCTTGCTATGTTCTTTTGGTATGGGGGAAAGTTGTGTAAACTTCAAGCCAATACTCCTCATCAGTTATTGATGGTTCAACCGAAGCATCTAGAGATTTGAGACTTATATGAAGATCAAAGTTTATTTGCTGCAACATATCACAAATCAGCAAGACAACCTGCAGCGCTTTTCAGGTCATGCATGTGAGGAAACTCCGCAAGTGATTTCAGCCACTTTGGTTGATTTTTCCAACCTTTTTGAGGAGCCTAAAGGGTTACCACCTTTTAGCAAAGAGCATAACCACCCAATTATCCTACAAGAAGCACAAATCCAAACTTGAAGCCTTATAGATATCTCTTGTATAACCACTGTTGGTGATCTTCAAACAAGGGTTATACAAGAGAGTTCTTCTCCCTTTTCAGCTCCTATAATCTTGGTAAAAAAGAATGATGGCACTTGGAGGATGTGCATCTATTATAGGGAGTTGAACAAGAAAATGTTGAAAAATTAGTATCCAATTCCCTTGGTTGAAGACTTGTTTGATGAATTTAGTGCAACACGATGGTTCACAAAGCTGGCTTTGAGGTTTGGATATCATCAAATTAGAATGGTGCCTGAAGATGTGCATAAGATTGCTTTTAATACTCATAATGGGCACTCTAAGTGGCTAGTCATGCCTTTTGGCTTGACTAATGCCCGACAACATTTCTAGGAGCCACGAACAGCATTTTCAGACCATTTTTAAGGAGGTTTGTTTTAGTATTTTTTGACAATATTCTGGTTTATGGTGTTAACACCATTGAACATGTGTGGCACTTGAAGCAAGATTTCTCCATTTTAAGAAAAAACTATTATTTTGTCAAAAAGAGCAAGTGTTCTTTTGCTGCCACTGGGGTGAAATATTTGGGGCATCTAATTGGAGAAGGCAAAGTTAGAACCGACCCTAAAAGATACAAGCAGTCGTTGATTGGATGGAACCACAAATTAAAGTAATAAAGGGCTTTTTTGGGTTTGGTGTAGCATATGACAGACCCTTTATTAAAGGGTATGGGGTTTTTAACCAAGCCCTTAACTCTTCTCCTCAAGAATGGGTTCGAGTGGTCAAGAGTTGTTACTGAAGCCTTCAATAAGCTTAAAGAAATTTTGATTTCTGCACCTGTACAGACACTTCCAGAATTTTCAAAGCAATTTGTAGTGGAGGTAGATGCTTGTGGAGTAGGTTTGGGGGCTGTTCCAATGCAAGGGGTTCAGCCAATTGCTTAATTTAGCAAGGAGTTGGCTGAAAGGCATAAAAATTAAAGCCAATATATGAGAAGGAATTGATGGCAGTGGTGTTGGCTGTGCTTCATTGGCATCAATACTTGGAAAGGCAGAATTTTATAATAAGATCAGACCAGCAAAGCTTGAAGTGTTTCTTGGACAGAAATGAAAGACATCTTTTCAGATGTTTTGGATTGCTAAATTGGCAGGATTTGATTATGAAATACAGTACAAGAAGGGGAATGAAAATTCTGTTTCAGATGCTCTTTCTAAGATGCCCAAACAGCACTCGATGTGGATACTCCTAGACACATCTTGACCAGAATTACTTGAGAAAATCAAGGGAGTTGGGTTCTTGATGTTGTTTCAGAAATTCAGAGAAAAACTCAAGAAAATGAGGGAGTTTGGGGCCATTTTTCTTGGGATGGCGGCTTGTTAAGTAGGAAAGGGAAGTTGGTTGTAGGTGTTGATTCTACTTTAAGACAACAAATATTAGAGAGGCTTTATGCTCTCCCTTAAGGAGGTCGCTCGGGAATCAAAGCTACTTATCAAAGGGTTAGATCTTTATTTTGGTGGAAAAAATGATAAATAATGTCTGATTTTATTAGACAGTGTGATGCATGTGCTATGTGTAAATATGACGCTGCTGCTACGCCTAGCCTATTGCAGCCTTTACTTATTCCTGGCAAGGTATGGGTGAGTCTCACTATAGATTTCATTTAAGAACTACTAAATCCTTTGGTAAGGATACCATTCAGGTTGTGATTGATTATCTAAGTAAGTATGCATAATTTTTACCCCTTACTCATCCTTTTTCAGCATCGACTTTAGCCCATATTTTTATGGATCACATTTACCAATTACATAGGGCACCCTCAGAAATTATTAGTAATTGTGACCATTTGTTTGTTGGTGACTTTTGGATTGCAAGTTTTAAGGGTGAAACAGCATCTTTCTACTTCATGTCACCCTCAAATTGATGGGCAATACGAAGCGTTTAGTCGTTGTTTGGAAACTTATCTCTAGTGCATGTGCGGGGAACAACCCAAAGATTGGAATAAGTGGTTGTCATAGGCGGAATGGTGGTATAATATCACTTTTCACACTGCAACTAAGACTACTCCTTATAAGATTCTATATGGTCAGAAAACTCCTCTCCACTCTCCCTATATACCTCATGATAGTGTGTTAGATGTTTTGGACACGTCATTTGCAGTAAGAGAAGAGGTGTTGGCTGTTCTAAAGCAGCATCTTCATAGGGCAGCTAACATAATGAAGCAACAAGTGGACTCTCACAGGACTGATCAGGAATTTACAATAGGATAGTGGGTTTTTCTCAAACTCCAGCCCTATCACCAAATTTCAGCAGCCACCAATAGCTCATGGAAGTTGGCTCCACACTATTGTGGTCCCTATAGTTTTAATAAAAATTGGAGCTGTTGCATACAAGTTAGAGTTACCTAAAGATGCAAGGATCCACCTTACTTTCCATGTGTCCTTGTTAAAACTTTGTCCGGGTCCAAAAGTCAAGAAAAGATATCCTCCACTTGACTGGCCTGAAATTCCAGTAACAGCAGAACTTGAACAAATTCTGCAGAAATGAGTTGGTTGCAAGGGGGGTGAGTGATCACTGAGGTTTTGGTTGAATGGAAGCAACTTCCTGATGAAGAAGCCTCTTGGATGCCATTATATTAGTTACAGCAGAAATTTCCTCAATCCGTGGTTCAAGACCCTTGATGGCAAGCGTCTTTTTTTTTGGGGGGGGTTATTGTTATGATTTTATAATAATGATGGCAATTAGTTTTATTACTTATTGGGTTATGTCTCGATTTAGAATGCATAGATGTTAGTAGCCATGGGGTATTATTCCTATTCCTATAAATAGCCTATAAATATAATTCTATTTGTAAACTCTAATTGATCAATGATAAGCCTGTGCACTATGCAGCATCTCTCTTTTATCTCTCTAATCCCTCTCAATTCCTCTGTCTCTCTCTTACCTCTTCTGTTTTTCCCTCAATTTCCTCTATTCTTCCCTAAATTCTCTATCAATTAGAATTATTCTCGCATAATAGGTTGACTTTTCATGTGGGCCCATGTAACTATTATTACCAAAACAATTGTAATACTCATTCACATCTCCCCCCCCCCAATGAATTTTCATTGGACCTCATTACCATCTTTGCATTCCAAAATTGCCCTTTCCCATTTCTTGTCATACAACTCTCCCCTCTTTGCTATCTCCAACGCACCGTTTGCCTCCCCTCATCTCTGCAATTGGCCTCTCCCATCATTTGTGCCTTCTTTGAACTCACTGACAAGGCCCTTCATCTTTGAACTCATCAACACAGCCTCTTCTTTGATATGTTTAACTAGTCAAGTTCATTGCCCTTTCCATGGTTCTTGACGCTCTATAGGTATTTTTCCAATATCTACTAATGAAATCTAAGCAATGTGCTACACAAGGTGTCCAATAAATGGAATGCCTTGTCATTTCTAATAACCCATTAACTGCATTGAAGTTGGATCCATGACCAGTAAACTCCTGTAGTCATTCTCTTTTCCAGCTTACTCTGACTTTTGCAATCGTTTTCACATATGATAATATATCAATGGATTTTACATTTACAGGTCAGGCAATTTGACCCAAACAAAAAAAGCATTTAAGGTCAGATTTTCTGTCATGTCTGCCCATTCAGCATAATGGAGCACCTGTGTTCTTTCCATAAATCTATCATTTTGCATCATATCACTAGTGAGCTCAACTTTCGTTCACATTGGTGCCCACACCTTGGGGTAACTTCAGATTCAGCCCATATTGCCCGATGGCTTTAGTCATCTTCTTATAAAAGCTTCCATTCAAGCAACACTGAGTGGAATCCTAGCATGTTTTATAAACCTACCAATTTATTGATACTCCAGAGTCTTTACCTTATCTAACTGATAATTTAAGTTTGACTATTGCAACTTCCCTTTTTTCTATAGTTAAACTAATTCAAATTTTTTCTTACAAAAGAATTTATTGGACCTTTTTGCCCAGGCTTCTTTGACAATAGCACCACTCTTTTACCTTGTCTGCTTATGTTCTTGTCAACATTTTCGGTCTCAATTGAATTGCCCATCATTTCAAATTCAATATTCAAAGGTGTATCATATGTTGCTTGATTCTGTTTTTCCTCCAAGTATCCTTTCAACTCCTTCCTAACATGCTTTGGAAAAAAAAGAAAAAACTGCTGGAGGCACTTGATTGACAGACCTAGTTGAAGGCAGCTCCCCTTATGATGTAAGAGGTGCTAGCCTTAATAGCACCTTGCCTTCTTGAGACAAGCACCTTTCACCCACTACATTCTGATGTTCACTATTTTAGGATGCTGTTCTTATACTGGAACCTGGATGCTCATGTTTGATATACTTCCATGAGAGTTTCTTGTCTGCATTTATCTCTTGCTAACAGTATTTGTCTAATATTGCAGCCATCAGTGAGAAAGCAGCATAATGCAGGTTACAAACATAAGGTACTGTGTACATATAATTTCCTCATTTTTACATGGTCCATACACTAAATGACATCTCTCTCTCTCTGCTCATTTTTCTTTCCTATTCTTAATGACAGGCAAATGTGAGAGCCTATTACCAGCAATTTGAGGAGCAACAAACCCAGAGTCTAATTGACCAAAGGATCAAAGAACATCTTGGGCAAGCTGCAGCATTTCAACAGGTTGGTGCAGCTTTTAATCAACATCTGTTGACTCAGAGGCCTCGCTTTCCAATCTTGCCAACACCAGGAGTGCCGCCAATTGCTGGAAATGCTCAAATTCCAGGAAGTCAACCACTGATGCCAGGGATTAGACCTCCCGTGTTGCCTAGACCAGTTCCTGGTGCTCCAGGTGGATAATACTCCCTCGCACTTATTTCGTGACTTGACTACTTTTTCCCTCTCTTTCTATTGAAGCATGGGTCTGGCATGTGTCGTCATGTAATTTTCACTTTCCATGTAAATATCTGCAGTTATGTATGCTATAGCCGATGAATATGATCAATGTACATCTTAAATGATTTTCCATCATAATATATTCTTGTTTCCATTGCTACAATTCCCTTTTCAGCTAAATTTCAGGTTTCTTCTGTGACCATTTTTATCAGTGCTAGTTCTCTCAACAAATTTAGTTTTCTTCCAGAATTTTTTTTGTTATTTAACCTGTTAATCTTTGTTAATATAGCAATTAACTTCCATTCTCATGGCAAAAGGGAAATTGGTTGGCTATAAATCAGTTGTTTAATTCTAGTGATGTGTGATTTGAATGATTTTCAATGTGTTCACAGGATATGCTTCTTTACCTACCATGCCTCCAATGGTACCTCCACCAGGTGCACCCATGGCACCAGGTCAAGCAGCTATACCCAGGCCTCCTACGCTAGCTCCCCCAGCTGCTGCTCCTGGCAGCGCTACTACGCCAACTTCTAATGGTGCCCCCTCTGTGGTGTCATCAGCTATGTATCAAGCCAATCCAGCATCATCATCTGGGGGCTATGAAGGTTTCAGTGCCAACGCTCAGTCAACTGAGGGCAATCACTGACGCGGTAATATTGATGCTATGCTATTATTTATCAGAGTATAATGCAATATTGGTTTGTGATCATTTTCATCCTGGCTCTTTTATTTACATTTTATGTAGTTTTTTTTTTTTTTTTTGGGGTTTGGCCTCAGTTCTTTGCATAATTCTAGGAGTTATGACTGGAACTATTTTGTGTTCTTCCTCCAGGTATTTTATCAATGGATTGCACTGTGGCAAATACCAGAGGAATCATATACTGATAATTTCGGCACCTAGAATGTAGGGTTTAGTTATTGTATTTTTGGACCAAAGAAGGAATTTGTATCTAAGTGCTAATGGTTCAGAATTATGATGACGAAGTTTTGTTGACAAATCCTAGTTTGACTGGAAGGGCAAGAAAGAATTGATGTCTAATGCTGTTGTTTTAATTGTCATCTAATTTTTTTATTTGAAAAGAACAGCATTTTCATGATTGTGAAAAGCTTTAGGGGTCTTCCTTGGCAAGAGGGTTTTCTTTCTGCCGTCCAAGTTTCATGCGCAGAGATGAGAGGTGGATCCCATTTTCTATTTTTTACTTTTTTTTTTTCATTTTGCGCGAGATATGTCCGGCATGGGATAGAAACCATGCCCATTTGACCTATTTTGTAAGCTAACAATTTCTTACCCCCAGTTATTTACATGCAGGAAATTATAGTACTATGTATAGTATGTGAAGGAACACAAACTTGATTGGTTGGTAGATCCTGCATGACCTAGCATGCAGACTATAATTTTATGCTAAGTGAATCTGGCATATTCAGACTGAGATAATTATACAAGGCAATTTGTAGGCTGATATCAGGATCTCAATAATTTAGCAATGCACGTGAATAAATATATTTAGTATGTGAAGGAACACAAACTTGATCGGTTGGTATATCCTGCATGCCCAAGCATGCAGACTATAATTTTATGCTAAGTGAATCTGACATTCAGACTGAGATAATTATACAAGGCAATTTGTAGGCTGATATCAGGATCTCAATAATTTAGCAATGCACGTGAATAAATATATTTAGTATGTTAAGGAACACAAACTTGATCGGTTGGTAGATCCTGCATGACCAAGCATGCAGACTATAATTTTATGCTAAGTGAATCTGACATATTCAGACTGAGATAATTATACAAGGCAATTTGTAGGCTGATATCAGGATCTCAATAATTTAGCAATGCACGTGAATAAATCTGACAAAATATTCCCTGCTCTCTAACCTATCTTTTGCGATCATTGTAGTTTGCGTCAAGTAGGATGTACAAAAAGGCCATTCAAACTCTGACTGAAAAAAGACAGTTAAATTCGCAAGCAACTACACAAGGCACAAGCGCGCGCACCGAAAGTCCGCTGGTGAGAAAATGCGAAAGCTCCGGTAGCCAACATCAAAGCATGGACAAGTCAATCAGTTTGGGTGAGAGCTCCTCCTTATGGACAAGAAAATCGTTATCTTATTCTTTCATCTCAGCTGTGATCTACAAACAGTTTGCGACGCCTTCTGTAGACCTTCCCAAAACGACGGCTTGATGTATCCTGGCTTTTCCTGGCAACTTGATATGCAAAGAGTTGATGTCTGCCATACACAAACGCTTTATTTTCCCAACAGTAGATTTGCTAGTTGCTACATGCGCAAATATTTCCAATCCAAGGGATCCAATTTGGTGCCGCTGTTTGATTCTATTCCCGGAATTATCGACCAGATTTAGTCATCAATCATTCAATCTAGAGAGTAACATATTAACTATCTCAAGTATTCTGTCCTTTTCTTTACCCCTTTTGAGACGCGACAAACTCCCTTATGAGTGGCTGATAACCACGTGATTGATAATAGCGGGCTAACGTGCCGAACTAAGAAAAGAGGGGGGAGAGGGGAAGGATTCTAATGCATGTGGACTAAGGAAAAGACAACATCGAAGTATAAATATAGCTCAGATTGTATTATACCTCTCAAGCTCCAGTTTCTGGGTCACTATTCCACTCAGAAGAAGCTCTGAACTGCACACAGTAATTCCTGTAAGTTCATGTACTCCTCAGAAAATAGAAATTGTCTTTCGCTATATTGAGATTTGACATGGAATGATCACAATAATTCTCAGAAATAGAAATTGTCTTTCGCTGTATACCTCTCTGAAGAAACGGGCAACACACTTCAAAGTCGTCTTCACAAGAAATAATCAACACATTATCTAACATTTCATCATTCTTGCCGGTATAAATCTGGCATTCATCCACCAACTGGAAAAGCCATGACAGTTTTGTGAGAAACTTGAGGTAAAAGACGAGAAAGCAAGGAGCAACATAAAAAATAATAATAATTTGTCCCGAAATGGTCTATCACCCAAACCGTAGCCACGACAGCGCGTCATCAACTGAGGAGCGACATGCATCGGAAGTGCATACCTGACCGTGAGCAGCTGTGACTAAGCTTGTGATCACTTTGTTATCAGGTTTAACGCGAGGGGTGATGAAGACACTTCTGCCCTACAGGGTCAGCAAGCAGGTGATAAGTATGGATATCAAGGTGCTTGAGAATATGGCTTAAATCCAAGTGTATATATTCACCGTTAAAAGTGGTTGCCGTCTTGCTCGAGCAAGAGAAACAGGCATGCTAAATCCCATCTCCTTTTCCTTTTTCACGTCTCTTAGAATGTAATTTTTCTCGTCAACAAGACAGTTTGCCTGTCCGCAACTCTCAAGCCATAAATGCGTCACCACCAACTTGCCAAGAGCCATGGTTTCCAACATATTCTTTGTGCGTGTGAATTTGTCTGCTACAAAATGTGTAGCCTCTATTGGGCCTGATGCAATAGATACGTTCATCCGTGCCAAGATCTGCAGGAAAGAAACAACATCACTAGTATAATTTTATAAGTCCCAAAATGTCTATAAAAGCAAGATCTTACCTTTTTTTGCTGCTTAATGATACTCTCATCCAAATGTTGGCTTAACAGAACTCGAACATATGACGTATCTTTTCGTTGTCTAAGTTTTTTCCCTATCAAATCTGTTGCGTGCTCAGAAACACCTAATCTAATAAGCTCCTTTAAAAGGTAGGATTTTGGTAGGTTTTTGTCAATTGGCCTTTTGTGATGCTTATAGCAAGTCGCATTGGCATTCGAAACCTTTCTGCCTTCACTGATCGTCCGAGCACCGATACGTTTGGCACTAGAAAGTAGGTGGATGTTAGGTAAACATGCTTCATTCTCATTGTCTTCGCCTTCTACATTTCCCTGAATTCTGCCATTTGCCATGGAGATGATATCACTTTCATTTCCATTGACTATTGTAGACTGAGTACCCCAATTTCTGGGTGCATCTGGATAGCTTCGCACATTAGGACATTTTCTTTTTCCTCTTGGTCCCTTCTGATAATGCCATGAATTAAGACTTGAAAAACTGCTGCTAGTGGACAGCTGCGGACACACTTGAACCTGACAATTCAAACTGTTCTTCGTAGCAATCCCAAGTAAACTCAAAGGCGTCTCAATATGTTCTGCATCACGAACCAACTTGAATGGATTGGCTGTTAAACCAGTTCTTTTCTTTTTGGATCTCACAATTCCTCCATCTACAGAATCATTATTCCTCTTTCTTTCTTTGCTTGATGTGATCCTTGTGCATCTGCCAGCAGGAGGGGGCAAATAAGCTAAGGCCTCCATAGCTTCAGCAGCTACCTGGGTGTCTAAACCAATATCACAGGTGTCCTCCGTATGTCCCACACCAGAATAAGCGTCAATATTCTTTCCTGCAGCATCTGACTGAACATCCAACTCCTTCATAGAGCTATTATTCTCAGCAACTGTTCCTAGTCCTTGAGCTAACTTCTCTTCGCATCCATCACCTGCGCTACAGGTTCCTCTGTTCTCGGGATAACCACTTTTATGTTTTCTTCTTGTGTATGTCTGTCCCCATACTCCACAATTTGAAGATGCCACGATCGTTTTATGAAAAATATCAGCTCCTCTGTCCATTCGACCAGCGTCAACCCATTCGAAGGGTCTTTTTTCTTCATGATGGGTCTGAACTTGAATTTTCTTGGCCAAATTTTGTGCTCCTCTTGCACTTATCAGAGGAGGTGATTTCTCTCTACTAGCCTTTCTATGGCAAATTCCTGGAGATAATTCTACTTTGCTGACTGACAAGTAGCGATCCACATATCCCAGTGCATCGTCTTGGGTTAAATCCCCAATCTCTGGAGAGGGTATTTGACTCAATGTTGTAGATAGATGTAGATGATTGTTGTTGTCAGAGCTCTCAGCGTCAGTTGATGTTTCTTTGTCCCCTTCAAGTATATGGGATGTTCTTCAAAAGTTAATCATCTATGAAATACTTCAGAAACAATTACTCCAGTACACTAAAATAAAATTGATAGACAAAAAGCATATATTATAAAAATACAATACTCGCAGACTTGAATAACAATGTCATTAATAGAATAACTAGAACTTCTGGTGCAGATAAAAGATGCTTACCAGTAACAGATTTCCCAAATGAATGAACACATGTGTTTGCTGTTCCCTTCTCCGCTTGCTCACTCGGTGAAGTTGGTCCAAGATGCCTCTTGTGAAACTTCATTCTAGAATTTTTAACGGTTCCAAAGAATTTTTTGTCCCATAACCCTTTGTAAACAGTCACCAATTTGCTATCGTGCATTTCCTCATCCTCACTATCAAGCACTACTTGTTCATATGCACTCATTGGACCAGTTGTCATGTTTTCTACAAGGTTTGAACATTCAATGAAGTCAGAATTCAGGTTGAAAGTTTCCACCTGAGTTTCAACTAGTGGATTAAGGAGCACTAGGTTGTCTTTGAAGAGTCCAGTCTGCTCAAATTGCTGGCACAACTCTTCATTTGCAACTTTGAAATTAACTCCTGATCATACCAAAGTGCCAAATGAAATTCTTGTCAGACAATTCAGCATGCATATCCAGAAGCGACAGCAAACACATGCTTCCTGCACACATTTATTCCTTAAAAATTCATCCCTCGATACATTTTGCGGCATGCCCAGATATTCCTCCTAGGTAATTATTTGTTCAAACAGTATGCATGTTCTAAAGATAGAGTCAGTTTACATAAAATGTTTGCATTATCTTACCTTTTCTGTTCAACTTAAGAATAAAATTCATGGGATATATGTTCAGTTGTTCACCAAAGTCTGACGCCATTTGAGACGCAAAAATAACATTGTCTGGAATATCCATATAGGGATTGTATTTCGGATACCAATATATATACGCAGGTGATTAAAACAAAAAAAAAAAAAACAAAAGATTGTGTGGATAGCTTCAATGAATAACATAACGGGATCGAATTAGCATTTTTGCTTGCAGTCCTGAGTTTCCTTCGAGGTGACAAAAACGGGAAAATAAGAACGAAACAAGATAAAAAGAGTTAAAAATTACCAGGTGGCGATGAATGTGTGGATGGATTGAGAGTGTGCCCCTCAGCAATCGATGTATGTTCAGTGGAGATATGAACTCTGTATGAGTTTTGGTTTTTCTTTTTCCTCAGAAATTCATCGAAGATTCTGATAGAATCAAAGGGAAAATATTTACAGCAAAAAGAGAATCAACGGAAAGTAAAACCCATAAATGGGGCAACTAATTTGGTGAAGGGCAGGAATTTGGAGGGAAAATGAAAGTGGAAAACGCCATCTCAGTAGTCAGCTCAATATTTCGGAGGGAAGATATATATTTTTATGGCGGCATGATTCTCGCCAAATTGTTTTTCAAAAATTTTGCAAAATTTTATTTAATTCCTATTGTGTTCCTTTTTATTAGATATGCTTGGAAATAAATTCTTTAAAAACATCAGCCACTCAATTCAATTTGGGGGGAAAACAAAAGAAGAAGAAGCATAGTGACTAGTGAGCAATATAAGTCATTTATTTTCTTTTTCGTGCAAATCAATAAAAGTTGTTGTGGTTAATTAGATATTTTGAAGTTTTTAAAATCACTTTGACTTTTTAAAATTATCCTTATTAAATTGTAATTATCCACCCGAGCCTGGTTTCACCCTAGCCATTCGAATTAGTCTCACGTAGCTTAATTGTAATATCATATCACTATCCTTTTTTTTTTCCCCAACAATATCATATCACTATCACTAATACATTTTTTTATATTCTTTATATTTGTAAATAGATGTCAATTTAGAAAAACAACATTTAATGCTCGCTGCACTTTAAAAAAAAAATTACGTTCTGAATACCCAAGGTGTTCTGAAACATGACTTGGATTTTAGAACGGAAGGAGCATTACATAGAGAAAGATAAATCTAAAATTGAAAAAGCTAAGGTAGATTTATGCATTTAAATTCTTGTACATTCATAAGAGGGCTTACATATGAATTGCAAAATAATTAAAGTGCCTCTCAGAGCTTCTGTAGGAGGGAAGAAGAGAGCTGAAGTCTCGACCCAAGCCAAAACAACTTTCAAGGGCTCTTGCTTGATTTGCATATTGTCTTTCAAGATTTATAAAAAGCTTTGCATAAAATTTAAACATTATGGTTTTTTTCTTTTAAAAGCTTGTAGGGACATTTTGGTAATTTTATAATTTAAATTAATTTTCCATAGAACCCTAGTCCGTAGGAACTATACTGATGACAATATGTTAGAATGTGTTTGGTTTCTTTACTTTTTACATCCAATAAGCTACTTTTTACTTTGGAGAAGTTAAATGTTATTTGAAGATCATTTATGATGTGAAATTAACTTCCCAAATGTGCTTTTCGAATGGGCTGAAAGCCTAAAATGGTAAAATTTGAAAAGTTGATATGAGTAGCTTTTAAAAAGTCAATTGAAGGAAGGTACATTATTAATTGTACCTATTATTTTAAAATGACCACGATACCCCTCCCCTCATGTTTGTCCTTTTCTCTTGCTTGACCTCGTGCACGTTTTAGAACCCACCTTCATTCTCTCTTCTCTGTGTGTGTGTCTCTTGTCTCATCCGCCTTACTCCACCATTAGTCCGCCGTCTCTCCTCTATATCTCCGGTGACTCTCATCTTTCTCTTCTTCCTCTCCCCTTGCATCTAGTCACAGATCTAACTCCGTCCATTCTTCCTTCGCCGAGCTCATGATATTGTTCCGTTGTCCTTCCTCGCCATTCCAGTGGCCATTTTTTCATTTGTAGCTCATGGATCGAGCTTGTTTTGGGTCGTAGACGGCACTATGAAGCTAACAGATGCAAAAACACCTGGGACCTATTGAACTGAACTCGAAGATAACACGCAATAGAACTTCACAACAGTTGCAGACGGAGATGACGCACCTGTCGATGGCAAGCTGACTGGTGAAGGAGGAAGCTTAATGATGCTTAACAAAAAGAGAAGGAAAAAGGAGGAAGTTTGCTGTCGATGGAAAAAATGAAAAGGAAGATGTTGAATGATGCCTACTCTTTGCATAAGGGGAAAAAAAATCTGAACAAAGAACAATTGAAAAAATTATAAAAAAGTTACCAAAATTTTTCTTTTTATAGCATAAAGGATAAGGGCATCTTTGATAATTTCTTCATTGTTAAAAACTAAATAAAATCAACCTATTGCTAAGAAGGTTTTAAACTTTGGACTTTTAAAATATTAGTACAAGTTACAATAAAATATCATTGTCCATTTTTTATAAAATTAACTTAAATGAAATATCAATTAGGAGAATTTTACTTATTTTTTAAAATTTAAAATTTAAAGTAATCAATATTTTTTTAAAATTTTATGTTATTTTAAATTTGTTTTACATTTTTTAAACATTTATAATATATTATATTTATATAATAAAAATTATAAATTATCATAAACCAATATCCTTTTTGGTCATTACATATCAAAAAGTACATTTCAAAAGTATAAATGTTTATTAATCCAAATAACTTTCAATTTGTCAAACTAACTTTTAAAAAATATATCCAAATACAAATTTCGTTACAACAACTAACTTTCACCAACTGAATTTTGTCAAATAAACTTTCATTTACTTTTGGTAAATTAAAAATCAAAACACATACTTAGCCATTTGGTCTCCAGGGGGCAACTTTCCTATGTATAGTCACTTGACTCTGGGTGAATAGATATAATTACTTGTATAAATGAAAAAGTGTCATTGTTATTTGGAATATTTTCTTGATATATTCTATCATTATTGTATGTATATCTCAATCATTATTAGGAGATATTATTTTCTATTATTATATAGTTATTAGTCATTATTGTGTTTTTTATTTTCTTGGTGTATATAATGTATACCTCAAATTAATAATACATACGACACTTTTAAATTTTTTTCTAGTTTATCTCTCTTATCTCTAATAATTTTCATGGTACTAGAGTCAACAAAGGATCCAAAAAAATTTATTAGAGGAGGCAACATTTATACTAAATATAAATATTAATCATTTTAAAGAAAATATAATTCTAAATATTAATAAAAGTAATATATAAATAAAACATATGATAATTTTAAAAATATATATTAATGTCATTTGCATCATAAATTTATTTTTATAATAAATATGAGTAAACAATGTTTTTAAATATGTATGCTTGACAATTTTAAAGAGAGTGTAGGGCAATTAATTTTTTATGGGAGACAATTATAATTTTAAAGGGGGAGGCAAGTATAGTTTTAACTAAAACCTAAATAAAATTTTTATTTTTTCAGTAGGGGCAATTGCTCCCTCTATCCCTAATGTAGATACGTCCTTGACCAGAGTCGTAGAATATTATTTTTTCACAATAAGTCAGTTTTTGAATAATGTTAACCTTCCATCAGCATTGTCATCCTTCATCACAAGTTCAGGTCCACTTCAAATATATTTTTGCATATCCAAATGGCAATTTCAATGAGTTGACATTTTTAAATTCACTAACCATTGAATCATGATGAAATTTTGTTACAGGTACATAACATCTAATGCATCATTTTCACCAGTCAAATCATAGATTTGTTGTATAATGTGAGAGTTATTTTGTTCACACTACATTCCTTGATTTGAGTTTTTTTCATCTTTCATTTTTTTGTAAGATTATTTTCCTTGAAAATGAAACATTCAGAAGTGCTCAATCTATCTCAATTATTTTGAAAAGTTGCAATTAGTGTCTTTAGTTGGAAAATGTGATCTTGCTTAGCCTACTTTGGAATCTTCTCTGATTGAACTTGAAACTTTAATATGCACACTCATCTTCAATTCCTCCATATGATCTACTGCCATATCTACTCTCATTAATGAATCCACTTAGTATTTTGACTCTACTTATTACAATCATGTGACAGGTTAGGAAAATTTCTTCTCCTTCGTGACCCTAATTCTATTGCTTATTCTATACACACTGTTAATAGTTCTCAAATTCTTGTTAGTTATATTGGTACTGTCTCCTTGTCTTTCCTATCCATTCGTGATATATATGTTATCCCTTTCATTAGCTTCAACTGAGTTTTTGTTGGATAACTTGTTGATATGGGTTATGACACGTTTTTTAATAAATGCGGTTGTGTTGTGATGCATTCTCGTATAAGACAGGTGTCAGGACTGGACGCAAAGTTGGTTGTATGTTTGAGCTCACCTTGATGCACCTACCTAAAATTACTACTCTCATATTGTGTGCTGCCTCTTCTCCTGATTCTTCTCTCGACTTATGGCATCATCGTCTTGCTCGCCCTTCTTTGAGTAAATTGTGTCCTTTAATTTCTAGTGGTCTTTTAGGTCATATTCATAATCAGTTTTTGTAATGCATTTCTTATCAAACTGGCAAACAACCCACTTTGTCTTTTCATAAAAAATGATTATATTACTGCTTCTCATTTAATTTAATTCATTTTGATGTTTGGGGCCTTACCTCTACTCCCTCTATAGGGGGATCTTGATACTTTTGTGATTTTTATTGATGATTTTTATCATTTTACCTAGATTTATATGATGAAACACCAATCATGCTAAGCCTGATTCTAAAGTCAAAATTTATATGAAATTTTCTACTATAATTCACACTCAATATTCTAAAGTCATCAAAAAATTTTATTGTGATAATGCTTTGGAATACCGTAATTCTAAATTACTCAGCTTTATTAATTCTTAGGGAACTATTTCTCAATATTATTATCCCTACACTTCTTAACAGAATGGTCATGCTAAGCGTAAACATCATCATATTCTTGATTCTACTATAGCATTGCCCATTTCCTCTTCTTGTCTTGAACTATTTTGGGGTGAAGTAGCCTTTACCTCTATCTTTTACATCAATCAACTCTTACATCCTGTCAATGTAACATTTCTCCTTTTGAGTGTTTCTATAGTCATCCTCTTGATTATAGTCTTTTGATAATCTTTGTTTGTGCTAATTTTATTCTTCTTCCATCTCACGAGACAAACAAACTTCAAGCTTGTTCGCATGTCTATTATTTTTTTAGTTATGATTCTGAGCATAAGGGTTATCATTATTGGGATCCTCTCTCTCTCATCATATTTGCATCTCTTAACATGTTGTCTTGTGGGAAAATATTAAGTTTCTATCTTTAACCAATCTCTTGTCGTTCTCATCTTCCTTACCTCCTACTTTTACAGATATTATTATTGGTATTTTTCTTAGTGACTCAGGTACAAACTTTTCTATCAAGCTCATTTTGATAATCGACGCCATGCCT